GGGGTGTGATGGGAGAAGCAATGATGTCTAACCTTTTTACCCTTACAAGGCTCTGAATACAATTCACTTCATTGTCCATATGTCTGGTTTATACGGTGGACATAGCAATCAAAACACTTTCAGATAGGCAGGGAATAATTAAAGGGACTTGGAGGAGCTGGACCCCTCACCTTCAACCACTCTTCAGTTTTTATTTCCCCTTGACAGATATTTAGACTAATCTCTCTCTCTCCCTTTCTCTCTCTCTCTCTCTCTCTCTCTCTCTCTCTCTCTCTCTCTCTCTCAGAGACTTAAATAATCTTAAATTAACAGAAAAATTAGTCAGAAAGTACAGTTCCAGATGTCCCCATCCACCCTCCACAGTTATTAACATTTTGCATCAGCTGGCAAATCCGTGACAATAAAATCTATGACAATAGATGAACAAACAGCAATATCTTATTAAGTAAAGTTTAGTTGAAATTAGGTCCTATTTTTTATATAGTTTTAGGGGTTTTGAAATATGTACAGTAGCATGTGTCTACTATCAGTTTCATACAGAATAGTTTCACTGCCTAAAAATCCCTGTGCTTCACTTATCCATTCCTCAGCTTTCCCACATTCCTCTTTAAAATGTGAAAATTTGCAGGACTATAAAGTAGAAAGGAGCTTTAATCAGCCGTATTGACCCTTCATAGTTAGATCTTTATAGAAGAGGATGGAAGTAGATCATTATTGGATTACCAGTTGCTGTGGCAACTTGACCAACACTCTTTTCTTTTGTCCCACTGTAACACTGTTGTTGTTGTTGTTGTTGTTTTTAAGAAAGGACTGAAAGTAATTGCCAAGTATGCACAACACAAATGGAGATCAAGCACCGATCTTCAAATTATTTTTTAAAGCAGCACATAGATAGGCAATAGGCATATGAAAAAATGTTCAAGGCCATTAATCATTAGAGTGATGCAAATTAAAAGCACAATGAGATACTACCTTATACCTGCTAGAATGGTTATCATCAATAAATCATTAAACAAGTGCTGGGGAAGATGTAGAGAAAAGGGGACCCTCAGGCACTGTTGGTGGAAATATATACTGGTGCAGCCACTCTGGAAAACAGAATGGAGTTTCCTCAAAAAAATTAAATATGGAACTGCCTTTAGACCCAGTGCTCCCACTTCTGGGAATAAATCCAAAGAAATATGAAACACTAATTTGAAAGTATATATATATAATATATATATATATTATAGTACCTATATTTTAACTAGAAATTGTCAAAAAAAAAAAGAAATGTATTGGTCAAAATTCTCATTCAACCAATCACCAACAGGATAATATTTCTGATCAATAATTCATAACAAGGAGTCACAGTAGTGAGTGGCTGAACCTCTGTCAGGTGTTAGAAAAGAACACAAGGCAGAACTGAAGAGAGTACGTGTGTGTGTGTGTGTGTGTGTGTGTGTGTGTGTGTGTGTGTCTGTCTGTCTAAATGGTGTGTTAACAACAACAGAGGAATAGAAGGTCATTGGGGAATCGCACTCATATGATGGGTGAAGGTCCCAGAGACAGAAGTAGGACAAAAACATTTTGCTAAAAGCCTAAAAAGACACAATGTCTGAGAGTGAGCAGCAGTATCAGAAATCCCAGTTGAATCAGTTTTCTTATTCAACTTTATGACTTAAAGATTTTTTAAAACTTATTTAAGAAAAGTTCTGTTTTTGCACAGCTGGTATGGCTCAGTGGTTGGTCATAATTAGATTTCCAGTCAGGGCATATGCCTGGATTGTGGCTCAATCCCTAGTGTGGGGCATGCAAGAGGCAGCTGATTAATGATTCTCATCATTGATGTTTCTATCTCTCTCCCTATCCCCTCCTTGAAATCAATAAAAGTATATTTTATATAAAAAAATTTTGTTTTAAATTATAAAACTCTATTAAGTTTTATTATTATTACTGTTTAATTAATATCAGGGTTTTTTTAATCAAGAAATAATCTCTTTTTGCTTTGTTTTTGCTACCTTGCATGGTTAATTTATAGCAAAAACACCACACAAGTCAGTGATATTATGATTAATATTGTTAACAGTTAAATCACTTGAACATTGGTCTGTACTGCTCACCATCCCCAGACCCTGCATTCAAAAACATAAATTAATGAGCCACAGCAAACCTTGTAGCACTATATTCTCAATGTGCCTATAAGACAAACATGGGAATAAAATGTCAAAACACAAGAAAATATTTAGCAGGAAATTTAATTCTGTTTGAAGGATTCAAAATTGGCTTCTGATATTGCCATGTTAAAACCCAAACTTTTGTATGTTATACTAAGCAATATAAGCTAGTCAGAGAGAGATGAGTTTCATATGATTGCACTCATATGTGGAATCTAATGAACAAAATAAATTGATGAACAAAATAGAGCCAGAGACATAGAAGCATAGAACAGACTGATGAATCTCAGAGGAAAGGCAGGGGTAGATGGGTGGATGGATGGATGGATGGATGGAAAGAGATCAAAGAACTTGTATGCATATATGAATAACCCACATACAGACAATAGTGAGGTGAAGTCAGGTGGCTGGGGGGGTGGGGAGAGGCAGGCTAGAAGGAGTCAAAGAGGGGGAAAGAAGGACATCTACACTAATAAAAGAGAAATATGCAAATTGACCATAACTCCATGATGCCCACCAATCAGGAGTGTGTATGCAAATTAACCCAACAAAGATGGCTGGTTAATTTGCATTCATAGGCACAGAGTGGCCAGGCAGGGTAGGATGCCTGCTATGAGGGAGAGTACCTGGGGCGGAGGGAGCTACAGGAACTGTGCTCTGGCCAGAGTGAATACTGAAGACTCCAGCCGGAGCAAAGGCAGAAGGAGACAGCTAGAGCAAAGGCCTTGGTTCCTAGTGCTGGAGGAAAACCGATGATGGCAGCCATGGGAAAGAAGGCCTATTCTTGCATGAGTCTTCATGCAACAGGCCTCTAGTATGTAATACTTTCAAAATTAAAGATTAAAAGAAAACAACAGCAACCATTCTGCAGAGCTGAGCACTTGAGGACCATGGAACCTGAGAACGAGGGACCAGCAAAGCTCTTTCTCTAGTGGTAAAAATAACAGGCAAGCATATTGGGATTCTACTAGCTCTCAGGAACTAGTCCTCTGCTCTCTACTGAAACATTTTCACTATTGTTTTGTACTAAGGACCTTCAATTTCTGCACACCAATGTTCATAAATAGCTGATAATATCTTAAAGCTGTTCAAATTGTCATTATTAATTGAGCCATCAAAGTTTAGCCTCAAAGAAGAAAAGGAGGGAGCGGGGGAGGTCCTGTTATTTTCATTGTAGACGTTATTGTCAGGTTGGAGAGCAAACATTTGAGCAGTATGTGGAAGAAATGGGGAGTGGCTTGACCAGTCACAAAGTTATTCACTACCATTCAGAGAAGTAAATCTGACTGCAAGTTCTACCTATCTATATGATAGCTGTTCTCTTGCAAATGGTGGATTACTTTTATAGAACCTAAACATTTAAGAAGTGGGTGGAATGTGTCTTACTCCAGTGAAAGTATGTTCTGGAAGGAATTATATAGTCAACATATAGGGAGACAGGCTGCCCTAGCAGAGAGAATTTGGGAAGAAAAAGTGAAGCTTTTTTTTTTTTTTTTTTTTTTTTTTTTTTTTTTTTTTTTTTTTTTCATTATGCTACTGTGTTGCCCCAGTTTTGCTGTTGATGCCAACAGTTTCCAGAGGTGCTAGTCTTTCTCTAGCTTCCAGGTCCATTTTTCTGATGGTGTAGCACAGAGGAGGCCCTGTCTTAGCAACATAGACATACATACTAAGCCATTCCCACACACATAATAAATGATAATCTGATACCAGTTCCCTTTTTTCCATTTCAACTCTAGGCTACGAGGTTGTCAGTTGGGTTTCTTTGATTTTCTGCAAAGACAGCAGCACATGGTAAGCTGGGAAACTGCTCCGCCGGGCTTCAAGCATAGGCCTGAATTTGTTTACCACAAACAACATTTTCTCAGCTTCTTTTACTATTACCATAGCAACAAGATTGAGGTTACTTCTATCAATGAAGCACCACATAAGGCAAAGGCGGACAGTTAATAAAGAAGAGCAATGATAATTACATAGCAGCCACTTGCCTGCTCAAATACAGAGTCCCTTTGCCAAACTGTAGCCCCATTTTCTATGTAAAAATGGAAATTATTACTTAATAGGCATTGAAAGCTCATTTCTGAATTTTTCTAGGAGGTGAAAAAATAAACAGCTGGAAATTCTCCACAGATCTTAACTCAGCTTCATGGCATAAACCTATTAGTAGGTTTATCTGCCTCAGTGACATAAAACTTTCTAGTTAATAAGAATAAACACATGAAATGAAGTAAAAATTGATTTTTTTAAAAAAAATCTAAAACATGAAATAGGGTCCCAAAGGGAAAAAAAAATAGTAGAATTACTGAGAAATGTGAGCTTAAGAAGACACAATTCCTTGTTCTTTTCATTGAGACAAGTGAATTTAAATGAACTGAATCCACAGTTGATGTATTTTTTCTACTATTAATCAACCACCTCATGCTCCATCTATTTCTTAGTTCCATGCTTTAATTGCAATTGAGTAGAACCATGTTAGAGAAACACTATGAAGAACACATGGATGTAAAACAGTGATTCATTCATTAAACTCTAAGTGGCTGTTGAGAATGCATCCAGTGAGTCAGGCATTGTATTAATCCCAGAAAACATCAAAATGAATAGAGATCCCATTCTCAAAAACCTTGGTAATTTTCACTAGATATGTAAATGTAAGTAATTCAGGCAGGGATATGGTTAAAACAAAGTTTTGGGAGTGATCTTAATGGAATCCAGAGAGGAGAATGATGCATTTTACTAGGAGGTTTTGACATAACTTGAAGTTATATTCAGCTTGGCCTTTAAAGATCAGAATAATATCTAGAGGTAGAAAATGTGATCTCAAAGGTAAAATGGATAAAATATACTCACAGATCACAGGCCAAACTTCCACTTCTTCATCTTCCTTCTCACCATAAATATCATCGCTAACTCCTTGACCTTTCCACTTGGACTCAAGTATTGGTCCAGGTACAGCAAGATGTAATAGCAATTGCCCAGTCTCTGGCTTTGTCCATGTATTAGGTTCCTAGAACTGCTGTAAAAATTCACCACAAACTAAGTGGCTTAAAAAAACCCCACAAAAAACAGAAATGCATAATCCAACAGATCTAGAATCTAAAAGTCCAAAATCCAGATGTCCACGGAGACACGCTTCTTCCGAAGGTATAGGACTCTCTTTCACGGCCCGCGTTGAAAGAGTTCCAATTCAGGGTTCAGCTTCTGGAGAAGGGCCGCACACAAATGAAAAGAGACTTGAAGAAATTCAATTTGGCGATTTGGGGGGCCAGGCGGTAGTCCAACTCTAGTGGGAGAACTACTCCTGCTCTGGCCCTGCCATCCCCTTTTATTGAGGCTTTGGGGAAAACATCTTAAGCAACATAAACAGAAATTTACATGTAGCCCCTGGGCAGGAAATAACAGAAACTTACACAGGACAAATAAGGTAGATTCTGCTTCAGCTAACATAATCTCAACTAAAGGTTAGAGCAATTAAGGTTGTTGACCAGCCTTCCTGGCTTCCTGTCAACATCTCTTTTTCAGTGAAACTGATTTGGTTTCCAGCAGGAAGGTTCTGGGGAGGAATGTTTCCTTGCCTCTTCTAGCTTTTGGTGGTTGCCCGTAGTTCTTGGCATTCCTTAGTTTATAGGCACATTCCTCAAATATAACCTCCCTTATCACAGTCTTATTCACCAGTAGACACCACGGAATTCAGTAAGCAGAACTGTTAGTGAAGGAATCTCGGGCATTTAGGAAAAGCTCCAGTGAGCCAGTGATTTTCCTTGAGGCAGAAAAATGAGGGATAGCGTTTTCTCTAAAGGAATAACTGCCACTTTTCTATGTCAAGCTGAAATGTCATTCTTCATGTAAAGCTGAAATGTCACTAAGATCAGGCCAACTGCTTTCTTATTTGTTTCATTTCCATCTGACAAGGTAGGTCAATTGGGCCCTTTTCATCTAGTTACTTGTATTTGAATTGATCCTCCCTCAAAGGACTGATCTGGCAAGACAGTCACAACCTCCCATGGGTCGTGCATTTAGTTTTGACAAGAGTGTAGGGGCATGGCAACAGTCACTTTTCAAAAAGGTTGTACCTAGGAGCCTTCTCAGGGAAGGGTCAAAGCCAAAATCCCACGGAGTTGTCTCTAAATACAGACTGACTCCCTTTTTCAGAGGATCTAATAATCAAAATCATCTTTCACAGGGACTTGTTGCTCAAGAATTAGGGTTGTTGGGTACCAGAGATACAAACCCTTCTGTATATGTGGTTTTTCCTGAAGAGGTTAAACCTCATCTGGCATTGATGAAAGGGGGAGTACAAGCATATAACATGTCAAGTGACCCACTTTTAATGGCGACACAGAAGCTGCCAGTCCTCATAGCCTGCCTGCCAGTTTCAGCAAAGCTGCAGAGATGAAAGTTGCCCAGGCCAGAATGCCACACAGTCCCACAGTTCATATGTACTCAGAGATCAGCAGTTTTTAAAGTATAAGTGCTTCTTAGATTAGTATCTGTCTTTAATCATTTTTTTAAGGCACAAAAATATTTGTTTTACGTACTTTATCTATCTGCATAGCTCCTTTCCGGGGGAGATTTGCCAAAATACTTATTTAGCCAGAAGTTAAAATGGTTTAATTTTACAGTAAAAATCATTCTTCGCACATCATACTTCATTGAGGCTAGTAAGGTAATTATCTATGCCCCTAAATGTAGAAACCAGGGCATCTTCAGAGACCTGTAAGCTGCTATGCACTCACTCCTCTATACTCAGATGTCTGAGAAATCCTGGTCAGCTATTTCCCATGCAGGTGCTCATACTGTACAGAATAAAGACAAACCAGGCCAGGGTCCTAACTAGGTGAACAATTTATTTTTAGAGCTGGCTAGAGAGGCTCTGCCCTCCACTTCTTCCCCATGGTGCCTCTTTCCTGCTTCAGTCTTATGTGAACGGTCTCCCTTGCCATTACTTTTATCTTGAAAGTGGCTTTTAGCTATGCAAAAGCCATGCTTCCCAGTGTCTCTGAGAGAAGTATGGCATTCACACCATGAGGCCTGGGACACATGACAATAATGGAAGAGACTCAGAGGTTGAAAGCAATTCCAAGTCTAAGATAAAGAGCATCTGGGTACTTTTTACCATTCTGATTTGTAATATTTTTATATATGTTTAATAATTTTGAGATAAAAGCAGCCATCTCAATTATTCTCAGCAGTGTCCTTGATCTGGACAGCTCATTCCCACAGCCTCCCTCCTGCTACTTCCCCCTGACCCTCCAGCTGGCATGATCTAACCCTATCTCCAAGGTGCTGGGCTTATCTTTATCCTTGCTCTTCCAATTATAAATATTTATTAAAATTACACTTTCTATTTGTTGCTTAAATATAAAATTCAACTGATTTTTAAAAAAGTGACCAGTAGCTAACACCTTGCTATTGTATTATTAGCAATTCAGCAACCTTGTGAGTCAATTTATCTGTACATTCTAGTGATTTTTCTTGTGTATCTTCAAATGACTGACCCTTCATTTCAGTTTTCCATACATGAAGATTTATTTATTGTCTTTGTATTTTTGCACTAGTTAAGATTTCCAGTACAATGCTGAGCATCTTATATAATAAAGAGTTAATATGCTAATTAGACTGGGGGAGAGGGGTGGGGCCTTGGGTCTGAGAGGCAGCAAAGCCTGCAAGGGCCTATTCTTGCATGATTTTTCTGCTTTGGGCTACTATTGTAGTAAGGGATAATAGGAAATATTATTCTATATTTGTCATTACATATGATAGTTATTATGTAATTTTTTTGCAATAACATTTCATCAAGTAATGTTTTTTTCTAAGTCTAGGGAGCTAAAAGTATTTTTATCATTAATATGAATTAAAATAAGTATTTTTAATAATTAAAATAATTATATGATTTTTATCAATTTCTAATTTAATATAGTAAATTACACTGAGTAATATTTCGAATCAGTCACATGTACAGACTAACTTCAAATTAGTCATGACACATCATATATATGTATTCACACATATAGAAGTACTTTATTAATATTTGTTTAGATTGCAATTTTTCTTTTTGTGATATGCTTATCAGATTTACATATAAAACATGCTCCATCAAATGAGTTTAAAATTGTTTTCTTTGTTTTAGATTTTTAAAAATATTTGAGAAATATTATTATTTATTTTCTACATGTTTGGTAAAATTTACTGGTGGTGGATTTTTTATTTTTTCTTGGGTTAGTTTTGGAAATTAGGTTTTTCTATAATTTCATCACTTCAAAGTTGATCACCAATTTTTTTATTTTGCATTGTTTTTCATTGTATCCTCTTATTGTCTATTAATTGTACAATTTATACTGCTGACCACATTTTTATTCCTGGTATTGACTTTTTGTCATAATTAATCTTGTCTGAGATTATGAAATTAAAAATTTTCATTTTAAGCTTTGAAGGTTTATTGTGCATATATGGGTTTATTTTAATTTCTGCTTTCAACACTGTCATTTCCTTCCTTTCACTTTATTAGGGCTTATTTTGCTGTTTTATTTCTACCTTTTTCATTGCTTTTCACTTTTTGAAAAACAACTCACTGTTTTAATTGTATATATTTCCCTCTAATTCTAAATTTAGCTCTATTATCATGTTGTGATATTATTCAATTCAATTTCTTCTTATCCCCCTGATTTATTTGTTGAGTGCTGATTTACTTTAGAATCTTATTTATTAATTTACAAACATAGTATTTTCCAGTTAATTTTTCCTTGTTATTGGTGAGAAAATACACTCTATGATTTCAATATTTTGACAATTTCGGAGATTCCTTTATAGCACACAATAAGGTTGAATCTTTGGAAAGTGATCGAGCATCATTATTTATAATATACTACAGTGATGAGGATATTTACCTTCCTGAGAAGATTTGCATTTTCAGAGTGAAAGCCTAGAAAGAAAATCAATGGAACACTAATAGCAGCTTTTCCAGTGATGTGATACTTAGAGATAATAGTTTGGAAATTCTTTGTAGGTTAGCCACTTAACCTGGATTATAATCAACTCAAGCTTGAAATAGGCAATACATAAATTCATAAGATCAAATTATTGGTCATATTTTTCTACGCTTCAGGGTCAAACATAGGCTACCATCAAATTCTGATAGTGTTTTTCTTAAACCAAATGAATCTAAGATTCCACAAAGTAGCTTAGTCATACTCAAACATTTTTGTATATTAAAAACCACCTGGGAGTATAAAAAAAAAATCACAGTACCCAGTCCAAGTTAAATCAGAGTCTCTGATGGTGGACTTGAGAACTGGCAGAGTGTGGTGATTGGGGGGTGGGAGGGAAGGGCAGGGAGGGTAGGGAGGGTGAAGGTGGAAGGGTGCATCGAGGAGATACATGGTTATGGGGGAAATAATTAAATTAAAACATTTAAAAAATAATTTGCTTTTTCAAAACTCACTTCTTAAACTTGAATGTTCAAAAAAATCATCTGCAGATCTAAGGTGGAGATTCTGATTCAGGAGGTTTGGAGGTGGGGCTTGGATTGTACTTTGAGTACCAAGGGAACGGAGACACATTCTTAAACTTGGAGTACTTTGTTATCACTTTGGGGAATAAAAAAAACACAAATAAATAAAAGTTAGAAAAAGATGCCAGATTCCCCTTCTAGAGAATAGCAGTGAATTACACTAATATTGTTTATATTAACCTCCCCACTAGAGCTGATTGCCCAACCCAGAGAAGAGAGAAGAAATCATCATGGTTACAATACAGTAAGGTTTGATCAGAAAGCAGGTTTTTCCTTTCCATGTTTGCAGCCTGCTCCTCAGGGTGAAGAATATTGCACCGACACTTATTAAATATGTGTTGGCATAGGAACATCCGTGGAACAAATGCTCTCCCTCCATACAGCCTGACAATAAGCCATGTGGTATCAGGAAAAAATAAAACATACCCAGTGTTCACCAGGTAATTTTCCACAACTGACATGGAAGAAAGGAAGGACTGGGGGACATGTCTTGCCAAGTTAAATCTTGTGCCTTTTTTTTTTTTTTTTTTTTTTTTAGCTTCAGCATTTCCACTGGAATTTAAATCTTTGGGGGTTAAAGTTCACTAACTTCTTGGCAGAAAAGCATTTCCTGTTCCTAAGGAAAAGGCCCCAGAATGCTTCTTTCACGTCAAAGGCTGTTATGAAAGAGCCCTTGATGTATTGAATGCAAGGGAATGAGAAACACATGGATTAAGTTTCCATCAGCATCCACATGTGTTTAATAATTAAGGGAAACTGCTGGACAAAAGAAAGAATGTTTTGATTTTGCCAAACTGAATTTTTGTAAAAAGAAAAAAAACATGTTTAAAGCTACTCATTCTGAACCTGAGCTTACTCACCCAAAACAACCCAAATCAGGTTCATAATTTGAGACCAAAGCTATGAACTTCATCTTCTCCAAAACCACCAACACTCATCAGGTTCTGGGGATTGTAAACTCATCAGACTTGGTGAATTGTGAACATCATGGCAGCACCCTCCTATCACGGAACTGTTAGGGAATTTGTTGTTTTGTTCACATCAGGTAAGTCATACTCTCTGACTGTTATGAATTTGGCTCCTTCCCTTCATTAAGCATGTTTTAAAATCACAATCACACCCACCTGACATAAAAGTAAAAATTACCTCATAGTTAGTGAGTATAGAATCATTAATACCATAGAAGTCAGTTCAGGCTTGTCCAGATTCTGCCTCTTGGTAGATGATAAAAGACAAGTATTTAAAACTTTGCTTTGTGTCCTTTGTAATTATAAAAAAGAAGGTAAGACTAGATCAGTGTTTCCCATTTCTAAGTACTTTGGACTGTTCAACTAATAAAATTCTCTATGTCGTAACCTAATAATTAAAAAGAAAAGGGCCCAAACAGTGTGGCTCAGTGGTTGAATGTCAACCTATAAACCAGGAGGTCAAGGTTTGATTACTGGTCAAGGCACATGTCCTTGTTGCAGGCTTGATCCCCAGATTGCGGGGGGAGGACATGCAAGAGGCAGCTGATTAATGATTTCTCTCTCATCATTGATGTTTGTATCTCTATCCCTCTCCCTTCCTCTCTGAAATCAATAAAAATAGAGGCAGTTCTTGGTTTACATTGGACTCAATGTACGTCATTTCATGGTTACATCGCTCTCTCCCATTTATTTATTAAAAAAAAAAGTTACTTCATGTTGATATATGTACATATGTGCTTTGTTTTTTATTATTTATTTACCACAAGTAAAGGTCAGGAATTATTTTTCTTTTAATTTTTTTTTACTGTTTCACTTCATTACTGCTGTGTATGTGCTCCATTTGAGTGACATAGGTGCTTAGATAGGTGGATTCTGACTTACAGTGAAAATCACATTACATTGCACCATAGGAATGGATTTCTGATGTAACCTGAGGACCTACTGTATCATCATAATAAAAGGCTAATATGCAAATGGTTGTCATGCCATCACACCATCACAGCAGGGACTTGAGGCTGCATGCGCCCCCCACCCCTGCCTTAGCACCGGACTGGGGAACCTGAGGCCATTCTCCCTCCCTCAGTGGGGCTAGATGGAGGAACTGAGACTGTGCTCCCTGCCCCGGCACCAGAGTCAGGGGACCCCACTCTGGCGCCAAGGCTGGGGGACCAGAGGCCACATCCCCAGTCCAGGCACCTAAACATGAGGCTACGGCCCCCACCTGGAGGGGCTTGATGGAGGTGGGACTGGCCAGGTTTTGGTGTTGCCCAATGGGAGTGGGGCTGGGCTGACACTTCTATTATAGAGAAAGGACAAATAGCAATATTAAAACATTTCCTCTAATTAATTTCCTTTTAATGTGCATTGGATCACTAGTATTTACATTAAAGAAATAAAAGGAAAGCAGCAGGGAGTAGAATGAATCCATGATTATTGTCAATAATAGAAGGCTGGGGAAGATGTACCTTTAACAGATTGCATCAGTTGGTACTTACACCAAATGTGTTGAGAGACCATCTTTTCTCAAACTCCTACCAATACTTTTTATATGTTTAAAAGTCACTTTTCCTTTTTAAGTACCTATTCACACATTTTCTTTGACTTATTTTAGATTTTAATTTATAAGAAACTTGGCACATGTATCTAATAAGCATCATATGTGATTATAGATCTTTATAAATATTGATTTTCAGTGATATTTAAAATATGTTAGTCTCATAAAAATAGCAACCGTATTTTGTGTTAATATTTTTGACTTGGTAATATCTTTGTTCTGCTTATTTATTTTTATAAACAAAATATTGATTAAAATATTTTTTAAAATTTTTGTTTTATTTTTTATATCTTGTATCATAAACTTTTTCCTTGAAACATTAAATATTTTTTCATTGGTGTTCTGGAGTATTTATTTCATGCTCTTTTTCATGTTTTACTTTCATCTACCTATAATTAGTTGTTTTTTTGTGTGTGTGAAAGAAGCTAAGGGTGAAGTTATGTTTTAATAATGACTTCATCATATATTAAATCTTATGTATACTCATGAGTATTTATAGAACCCCTCCTGCTGTTCCATTTCATTGCTGTTAGTCTTCCTCTGCTGGGGACAAACTGTTTTAATTATAGCAGCTTTGTGATGTATTTTAAAGTTTTATATATTCCCTCTACCATCTTACTTTTCTTTTTTTAAACTGCTGGCTCTTTTTAATGTCTATTTTTCTACTTGAAATATAGAAGAAGCTTCCATAGTTAAAAAGCACACTAATATCCCTAGTTTGTTTGGCTCAGTGGATAGAGCATCAGACTGAAGACTGAAAAGTCCCAGGTTTGATTCCTATCAAGATCATATACCTTGGTTGCAGGTAAGATCCCCAGTCCTGATCGGGGGCACGTGGGAAGAAACCAATCAATGTGTCTCTCTTACTTTGATGTCTCTCCCTCTCCCTCCCACTCTCTTTAAAAAGTCAATGGAAAAATCTTCTTGCGTGAGGATTAACAACAACAACAACAACAACAACAAACTAACAGAAATTATACCAATTAAGGTTACAGTGAATTGACCAATTATAAAGGAAGAACTTTCATATTCACATAGAATATCTTTCATATATTTAGGTCTTCTTTTATGTATTCTGCAAAATATGGTACTGGTATTCATTTTACTCCTTACTATGCAAAATTATACCAGGTTTATATTTCAGTTTCTAGAGTTGAATTATACCATTCTCCCCATTTTGATCACATTTTCAATGATGTCTTTCTGCCTAATAGACAAAATGCAAATTCTTAAGCATGATGTACTGAGATCACTCTGAGCCCTTGCTGCTCTTCTTATTTGATATCATAGTCTCTGAAGAACCTTTTTCTCTGGCCACTCTGAACTGCTTATTTTATTACCTAAATGTCACTCTTGGTAAATAAGACAACCTGTTATTTTCTGTCTTGTGAGAATAAATTCATAATTGTATGAGTCTTAGCACAAAGCAATGTGGTACTGACTTTAAGTACAATGAGAATCCATAGAATGGGTTTTCAATATTAAATTGACAATATCTGGGCACTTAATAGTTGCTTGCTCAGTTAATATTTTTAATAGTGTCTTAAATTAGATGATTATAGTTTTAGTTCTTTTTGCCATCGCATATGTAGTCTAATAAAAATAATTAAGTAAATTTATAGAAGATCTGTATCTTTATTAAACATTAACAAATTATTTTAAATTATAAAGTAGAACCTAAGTGTTTATAGCAGTCATAAATCTTACTACACAGAACTTGCTAAATTTTAGCCAAGAGCCCGGCCAGTGTGGTTCCGTGGTGAGTGTCAACCTGTGAGCCAGGAGTTTACAGTTCTATTCCAGGTCAGGGCACATGCCCAGGTTGCAGGCTAGATCCCCAATGTGGGGGTGCAGGAGGCAGCCGATCAATGATTGTCTATTATTATTGATGTTTCTATCTCTTTCTCCCTCTCCCTTCCTCTCTGAAATCAATTCAAATATATTTTTAAGAAATTAGCCAAGAGTCTAAAATCTTGATGCTATCTGAATATTTGGTGTTAAAGTATAACGTTAAAAAGTGACAGATAAGACAATATATTTCTGATTATGCTGTAATGTCTCTATATGGTGGTATTCCCCATCTACTAGGAAATGATATTTCCATTTATATTAACTATAATTCTTCATACTACTAAAAAAAAAAGAATGAATAAAAGGCTTAGGGTAACTAATATTTTGGTGGAACACAACTGTAGTGCACTAAATGATAACTTTCCAAAATATAAAAAAAATGTCCATTCTCCAGTCCCCAGAACCTTTGAAAATGGGCCTTTGCAGATACAATAAATGCAAGGACATTGAGATGAGGGGATAATTCTGGATTATCTTGGTGGGCCCTGGACCAAATGACAGGTACCAAGAGGGGGAAGCAATATGAAGGTGGAGGCAGAGATGATGGTTGTGATGGGATTAATTGTGTCAAAGTCCTAATATCCAGGACTTGAGCATATGACTTCATTTGGAGTTAAGGCCTTAAAAAAGATAATTAAGATTCAATAAGTTTATTAGAGTAGACAGTAATCTAATATTATTTCTGTCTTTATAAGAAAAGGAGATGAAGACACAGGCATACACAGAACAAAGACCATCTGAAGACAGAGGGAGAATACAGCCATCTATGGGCCAAGGAGGGAAGATCTCAATGAAACCAACTCTGCAAACACCTTAATCGTAGACTTCTAGCCTCCAGAACTGTGAAGAGATAAGTTTCTGTTGTGGCACTTTGTATGTGGTACTTTGCTATGGTTGCCTTAGAAAATGAAAAAGATAGTGATGCCAAGAAACATCTGAAGCCACCAAATGTTGACAGACCAGAAAGAATTTTCTCCTAGAACCTTCAGACAGAGCAGTCCTTCACCTCGGACTTCTGGCCTCCAGGTTTAGATTTCCAATGAGAGAATAAATGTTCTGTTGTTTTAAGCCACCATGTTTGTTGTAATCTGTTATTGTGGCCCTGGGAAACTATTACAGCTTTCCTGTTCCAAGGAAATTCAAGTGGTTTCTAAGTGGCTGTGTTTATTATTTGGAGCCAAAGCCCATGGTGAGGAAAGACTTCTGGGCAAAACTCATGCTGGAGAGGAATATTAGAAGTCTTGCTTAGGGCTCTCTGCTCTCAACCTTTTTCTGCCACCAGCTTCACCATGCTTTAAAAAAAAAAAATAACACTAAGTGTTAATGCATTTGTCTTTAGGGATTTCCAATATTGAAATGAAAATTATATAATACAGATTCCACTGGGGTTTTATAATGATGAT